TTCGCTTGAAATTATTACAAAAAATTATTTTAATGCATCAATAAAAGTTACAGAGCGAAAATTAAAGCGATCTGTTTGCAAACATTGGCGTGAAAGAAATGCGCCAAATCCGATGCACGCGCTTTATCAGAAAAGGAGTAAAAATATCAGAATATTTGTATCAATATGAAATTTAATTGTAATGAAAATGCCTATCAATGTTAACTACATTATAATCTATTAATTTAAATAAAAATATAAAAAAATAATTGCTATTTTGCTAGTTAAAAACCAATTAAATTCATTCCATAACTTGACGTGCTAACATATAAATAGAAAATAAATGTTTATAAGTGAATATAAAAGAATAAAAATCTTTCTTGTGAAATGTAAAAGGTCCTCCTTTAATGAATTTTTTGTTGCATCCAAATGCACAGCAGTATACCACCATTTTTTTAAAATTTTATAGTTAAAAACACAGCTCATCAATTCACCTCCATAGGAAAAGAATGGGGAGAGGGTTTACTGGAGGGAAAATTGTCCAGGAATCACGTGACGATGTTCTTTGCAACGAGAGATGGGGGACTGGTTCTCTCTACCTAAATTACTCCTCTAAGGTCCTAAACAGTGACCCCACACCCCTATTTGAAATACTTAAATCTAGTTACCATAGTCACAGCCACGAGTCTAGACGAATGGCTAGGGGAGTTCTTACTTACTATAAATATCGAGTTAATAAATACTATATAAATCGAGTATTACAAACTATAAATATACTCGATTATTATTCAATATAATTTGCAAATGAATGTTTAACATTAAAGAAAAAGGGTTCTAAATAAGTCCCATCATTATTGAATCCAAGAACAGCGTAGAATAGATTTAAATATCATCGATTTTTCTAATTGTAATTTTCAAATTCTAACGTGCATAGTTTTTTTGCACATAATATTTTATAATAAATTCTAAAAATTCGTATGCAGGGAGGTTATTATGAAACACTTTCTGTAAAAATACAAAGAATGTGATACTGCCTAACACTCAACTATTTCGATATTATTTTTTGTTGCGTTTATGCCCCACTATGCTTATATCTTTAATAATTCTTAATTCTTTTTTATTCCCACTTTTATTTAAATTAAAAAGATTGTATTTATTTACCAATCCTAATCACTAATATTAACAAACTAATATTAGTTTTCTAATTTCAGAAAAAAAAAGGTACAATCTCTGTTTAATCTGTAATATATACCTAATATTAAATCTACGTAATCAATAAAAATGGTAAACATTTGAAATTGAATCAACAAATAAAAAGTAAAAAATGCTAAAAAAATAATTTTATTCACCATATATTGCTTATGCATCTGAAGTGATTTTTTTCTTCTTTTTAATTTTATGATTTTCCTAAACTTATAATTATTTTAAACTGAATAAAATTTTTAATATTTTTTTGGTATTTTTTGCCTAACTAAATAAATAAACAGAACTGAATAAATATCCATAATTATATATTCAATTGTAACAACTTATCCAGGCAAAATTATTAATGCAATATAATATAATATAATATAATATAATATATTATTATATAATATAATATAATGTAATATAATTTTATAAATTAAATAAACTGAAGATAATTAAATAAATTTAGAAATTAAAAATAATAAGCTATTAACAATATATTATAACCATTTTTATTATTATATTTAAATTATAATAATCTTTATTTAGATTAAGATATAATGTATGCATATATTCATTTGAAAATGATTGTCTATTTGTATCAAAATTTTTGAAATTAAAATTATATAA